TAAATTCTCCACCATTATCTGTCCGAATTATTTTTAATTTTCCATGCGGGGAGTTCTCAGATAAATAGATTTTCGTAGGTTGCAGATTATCAAATTTATTTTCAGAAAGTATATCATGAGCCCTGAATATTCAGCAACAAAGTTTAAGTCATTTTCCCTTTAATACACGTGTCACAATATTTTAAATCATTTGGAAGTGTAATTTTTATTCCAGTGACATGTTCTTGCAATCTTTTAACATCAGAACTATTACAGTGGCCTAATATTTTATGCCAAGTTCTTAAGTCATGCGTGGCCATCTTCGCAGACTTAATACTTTTCAAATAATACAAACATCCATATTGCTGTATATTAAATTCAGTTCCGTCTGGATATCTTAAATTTAAGATATATAAAGCCTTTTTTTTAAAAAAAAATAAACATTCTATATCGTTTCCTCTAGTATTTCGCAGATAAATACAGGCACTACCACTCTTTGAAGCTAAATTATTAGCTCTGGTGCCATCCAGTAACTCGATAAAATGTCAGTCGAGCTCAAAATTCGGGTCAAAATTAATAAATTTTGTTTCATCTCCAATTACATGATTTGTCACACCCGAATTGACCGAGTCACAAGTACTAGCCACAGTACTCAATCCAAACAAAAAAAGGCATATTCACGTCCATTCGAAAAAATTTTTTTTTTTTTTTTTTTTTTTGTTTACAAAAGTCATTCCGTGTATAAAATTGACATTTCGCACGGACATGGCCGACATTATTACCACAACGAAAAACAACATTTTTTTTTGCCTCGATTTTTTTTTTTTTTTGGGGGGGTTATATTTATCATATTGCTTCATAATTACGTAACGCAATTTTAAACTCAGTGAAAGTTACTTGTTTATCTTTTTGAGTTATAACTGTCGTAAATGGTTTGAATGAAGGGGGGAAAACCCTTCAAGACCATGGCTATTTGCAGCCCATCCCAGATAGTCTCACCTGCAATTTTAAAGCATTTGTGACATTCTCTGCTAGAATAATTGGTTACTGATTCATTTTCTTTTCTCTTTAACGCGGTTAGTTCAGTATATAAAGCAATAATTTTAGGCTTACCTTTTAACAAATAGTATTCGTTTAAATTTGTGTAGAGCTCGGCTTCCATTGTCCTTGGCCTCCCTCATTATTAAAGACAAACTCCGGTCATCCAGGAATTGAATTAACTCAGCGAAAACGGTCGCATTTCTTCATAAAATCATCATGCCCCCCTCCTGGTCGTCTTTGTAGAAGATGATGTCATGGAGTTTTTGTATTCTTAGGTAGCCTAAAATACTTCGTCTCCCATAATTCATATCCAGATTCATTCCCGTCAAAATAAATCGTGATCTGGGCTCATAACCTATGTTAGACATTTTCATGACGGTTGTCCTCGAGTATTGAATCCAGAGGTTGGCAGTGAATATTTCGGAGACAGTAGGAAAGCGTACTTGGAGGTTCGCAGTGGATATCACAGCAGAGTGTAGTTCATCCTTCTCCTGGTCGCCTTTGGTCCTTCCGGTAAGAAAACAAAGATGGCCGCCTTTATACACGACGGATACAATGTTCAGCGGCTTCTGATTGGTCAACCTTCTATTGGTCGACTATAAAGGGAAATAAGTCATTCTGACTCGCTTACTAGTTATATGTGTTATATACCCAAAAAACCGTAACAGACATGACTTTCGGATCACCCTGTACATGAACTCCTACAGTAGATTTTTTTTTTAAATTTGCGTTATAGTTTTTAGCAAGACAATTGATGAAAGAATAAAGTAGATTTAAATTTAACCTATTATACAGTGAGGCAACTCTGACAGAATTAGAAGTCCCATGAGGAATTATTATTGGCGGCCGACAGATGGCACAATGTTGATAGCAGACATAGAAAGCAGACTACAGCGTGGTTCGAAAGTCTTGTTACCCTTACATAATATAATTTTCTGTTTCAAAGCTCTGTGGGGTTATTATCAAGGACAGCGAGCTTCATATGAACGATACCAGAATACCCAACAATTGAAGGACTCCTTTGCAACAATCAACAAAGCACAGCTTCGTAAAATATCACACAAGACATGACGCCGAATTATTTTGTGCCACGAAAATGATGGTTTTCATACAGACCTTCTCGATGTGTGACAGCGTCAATGAAAGTGTGTGACACCATTTAGGGACACAAAAAGAAAATAGAAAGGAAAAAGAGAAAGGAAAGAAAGGAAAAGAGAGGCGAGACTTAAGCTTAGATGATAATGGGAACCACCCACGACCGGGACATTGACAATGTTATTTTGATAGTAACAAATGGTGAAAGGTTTCATTACCATTACAGAAAATTCTAAATAGATAAAAAAAATTGACCGTATCGTGGTGGTGGACTTATATTATCGGGAATAGATAACAGCCACTTAGTGCTGGCGAAAATCTAATTGACAAATTCCAGACCGGCTAGCTAATCTCCGGGACATTTGACAATGTTATTTTGATAATGGAAAAAGATGGTGAAAATTCTGACGGCCAGGTGAATACAGAGCTTTGGATAGATAAGAAAAATTAACTGTGTCGGGGGGGGGGGAACAATATTGTCGGTAAAGGATTTAATAGGTCATCTGTTTACCGCACACGAAGCCAACCCTGGGTTAAGTCTTTGCCGTTTTGACAAGACATCTATGGGTGTTAGAATTCGGTTATGATAATAAAACTATGTTATCAGAAATTGGCACCGAGAATGCAAATACGGCTAGGACAATGAAACTGTTTTTTCGGGACGGAAATTGGCTGTGTTTCACTAGACGACTAACCACTTGATAATTGGCATTGATAGATCCCAGGTGACATTGGGGATGAGAGTTGCGATTAAGGAAAGAAAAGGAAAAGAAAAAGATAATTTTTTTTTTAGCAAGATATATTTTTTTCTTAAAACAAAGCTAGCCGGATCACACCCACCCAGTTGGACGCCATGGGACGAATGCCAACGGGGGCCAGGCGGAGGTGATCACGTGACGCAAGGGGGGAAGCCCGCCGCCGCCTATTTAGAGGATAGGTATGAGAGGTTGCTACGAAGAAGTGGGGAGAACCGTTGACGCCCCTGCGAAGTATGGTGAGATATCCATATGAGAATAAGAGAAGGTGGGAGTAAGAGAAGACTTCCAAAAATGGAAAGGAGTTGAAAATTCCTGACAGAAAATAAAAGAAGTGGATATGAATTTAGAATTATCAAGGAACCTCAAACCCCGTCAAAGCCCACCCCGGTTTTCGTCGGCGTCCATATAAGCAAAGTCGCAGCGAGCAAAAATCGGTTCGGACTCTGGTTTTCTAGAGTTCAGTCTGCAGTGCTCAGTTGAAGCGGGCCTTGCATAGCTGACTTGAAAGATTCGCGCAACTTCCGAACTCACCTTCAATCCAAGAACAATTTAATTTTGCAGAGCGACTTATATCCATACCACCAAAATAGGTTTTACGACTATCGCTTGAAGACACACCAAGAACCAACTTCTTAAAGAACAGACAACTTAAGATGTTAAAATTCACCTAACAAAGGCGCCATAACCGGTTTTAAGCTGAATTATTTGAAGGTGACATATTGGAGTGTTTGCCAGTTTTAAAAAATTCCCCAAATCCCCTTAGTCCGGTTGTTAGGGATTCTACTGTTTTTTTCACAAGACAACACATTAAACGCATTATTCGCTCACTGTAACCAGACTGACCACCATTTTGACATAAAAAAATGCTACCCTAATTAAAAGCAAAAACTATTAAAAAAGACGTAAATGTTTAGAAAGTGGTTGTTTATTCGCTTGTTCAGCCACAGTAAATTTGCGTCCAGGTTCTTACAGTTTTCATCACTCTTGATAGATTTTCTGTTATCACAATACGGGATATCTCATAAAGTTGATGGGAAAAAAAGAATCTAAATGAATCTGGTTAGATTATATACGAAAAACACCTAAAAAAATGTTTTTAAAAACTAAATTTAAATTCCCAGCGTCTCTCGTTTGTGCTCATGTGTAGTCGCACCAACATAAAAGAAACTTAGTCGGATGAAGTTTTAAAAGACGAAAGGCATCACAGGAAAACATTTTCCACTTTGTCATTTATCTTACCCGCCAAATTTGTTCTTCATATATAAAGAATTTATATATCATCTATATATTTTTTCTTTAATCTATATATCATTTATATATATATATATATATATATATATATATATATATATATACAAAACCCTTTCAGAAAAAAATGATAAAAAATAAAATAAAAAAATAAATAAATCTCCATAGACACTTAACCAGATTAGACAATGTCATCTTCCGCTTTAAATTTAGACACCCCCAACCTTACCCTGACTTGACATCTTTGGATGTAACTGAGATATTGATACAAATTATTAATACCTTACGCCGCATTTTCTTTAAACAATTGCTCTAGCCGTTACTATAGTAATTTTAATTTCAATAATGAATATGCTTATAAAACGCGTAAATTTCAGAAATAAGTTATTCCATAAAATTAAAACAGAAGAATACCGTCCTTCCCCAACCCCCTTTTTGGCCTTGTGCCACATTTTGTACAAACGTACAAATAAATACCTATTCCAAAAAAAAAAAATTCGCTTGAAGATGGAACAGAGCTTAGTACTTTAATTCAATTTAATTCAAATAATTATATTGAAATTTTCGGCTCTTGTTTTGAAACATGAGAACTTTTATGTAGCGTTGGAATCATATTTTTAAATAAATAATTATATATATATATATATATATATATATATATATATATATATTCTTTAATTTTGTGACTGTCTTAAAACTAAGTTGAGGAGCAAATATTTTGAAGTATAGGTCAAGGTTAATTTTACTGTCTAATTTCACCAGACACTCCCACTTCTACCACATTTTAAATTTCCTAATTCCATTTTATTCTAATTCATCTCTGGCTTTTCCCTTTTCGTTTTCTTTTTATCTCTTTTCCTTTATTCTCTTAATGTCTAGATTCTCACTATAACAATGGGAATCTATGTAAACTTATATCTAGACGTTTATCTGCTGCTGCTCCCAATGTCTTCTCTCCTATTCTTTTTCCTTTCTCCTTTTTCACAAAAAAATGTGTGGATCGAAATACCGATTTTCAGAATGACTTAGCATTGGATTTTTAATATCAGTATTTTATCCTACAGTGTAACCCGGATATTAGAGAGTTGTCGGGACCGGAGAAGAGATCTCTTATATCCGGGTTTCTCTTATATCCGGGTTTGGTCTTTTATATACATTAACACAGGCTCTAATTTGGGACCAGAGAAAATCTCCCTATATATCCAGGTTTCTCTTATATCCGGGTCTCTTATATCCGGGTTACACTGTATATCATATATATATATATATATATATATATATATATATATATATATATATGGTGTCCATAAAGTTCGTGTGCACTTTAAAAAATTGATAATTTTATTTGTATTTGCGATAGAAATAATCTGTAAAAAATGTTATAAAGTTTAATGTACCTAGTTTTAAGTCTAGCTAAAATAACTAATTTGATTTCGGGCATTACTGTAAATCAGTTGGCAATTTTTTTTCCATGAAATGCAAAATCATTTAATCTTTGTATTGCTAATGATGGAGAACATGTGGAAACTTAAATAAAATTTCATTAAAACTTTAAAAAAAGAAAGATTTACTTCTTTCTAATCCTTTTTACAAATTATTTCTATCGCAAATACAAATAAAGTTATAAATGTTTTAAAGTGCACACGAACTTTATGGACAGACTGTATATTATTTATCTATAATTCATTTTATCCTATACAAAATTGTAAATAAAATTCATAAGACGTTTGGTTTGGTTTGGTTTGGTTTCTGCTTAACGCACCTTCATCTACTAAATAGTTATTTAAGGCCAGATAAAGATTATTTAAGGCCAGATTAAGATTATTTAAGGTTTTACATAGGAGTTGTGTTTTTTATAGCTTTGTGGTAATTATCATCACCATCATACATACAAATCATGCGACAAGCATTCATTGGTTAATCTCCTCAAAACTAGCTCGCTGATTGGCCAATTCCGACCAATCAGATATCCTGCACGCGAGGAATGAAATATCCCGCAAACTAGGGTTTGAGCCAGTCACGTGATACACCACCTTATAAAAACAAAATACGTGTAAGCTCTCTCTCTCTCTCTCTCTCTCTCTCTCTGATTTCTCTTCATTCATCGTATTCCTTGCTGCCAAGATGCAATCTTCAAGAGCTCCCATGCGGTTAGACGTTAAAGAACATTACCATTTCACGCAAGTACGAACGCTTAACTCTTCTGAACTCTTACCAAATTTACCAATTCACATTTCCTAACATGCAACAGGAACTTTATTCTTCTAAAACTTCAGTTTAATAATTACTTCAACATTATGAGCTCAAATACAAATATTTCCAAATCTAAGAGACATAACTCATTGAAACCTTCAGCGTATATACATGTACATCAACACTAATAAATTCAATTTGTGACGTCCTTGCCACAGCGCCAGCTGTGACGTCCTTGGTCGCGGCGTCAGCTGCGACGTCCCTAAACACAGCCTTCGCTCGCTCCTCGCTGCTCCGTTCGGGTGTCGCAGCTCCAAACGTGACGTCCGCCTGTCGCGTCAGTCGTGTTGTTTCGTCCTGTGACGATCAACTGGCACCCAAATGTGACGTTCTAACCTTTTGGTGATTCGGATGGGAATCTGGTTAGATTCGATATCAGCCTCGTTGTTCCCAACTCGCTTCCAACGCCTGGTTACCAAAGTAACTACATTGATCCCCAGTCTGCCTACCAACGTTGTGAATTGATCTTAGGCAGACGAGATCAATCAGTAGTTGGGGCCGTAATGCAAATTGAGTTCAACGGGGTGACACCACACAAATATGCATAAAAGAAAATAAAATGATAACTCAAAAGTTCAAGGTATCAAAAAAAGGGATAGCAAACTTTATGTCTAGTTGTTGGATACATAGGACTGCGTCTATTTCCCGACCCGTTCTATGGATTGTGACATGTTGTTTTCCGTTAGGCGAGTTTTAACGCTTCAAGTTGTTTGCTCTTTAAGAAATTGGTTTTTCGGTGACGAAAAAAACTTATTTTGGTGGTCTGGATCTAAGTCGCTCTTCAAATTAATTGTTCTTGGATTGAAGAGGAGTCCGGAATTTGCGCGAATCTTGGTCAGCTATCTGCGAGGCGGGAATTCTCTCGAACCGAACTGGAACTCAACTCAACTCGAACTAAAAATTAACTCAAACTCAACTGATTTCTGCTCGCTGCGACTTCGCTTATATGGACGCCGACCAAAACCGGGGTGGGTTTGTCGGCGCCGGGGGTCCTCGATAATTCTAAATACATATCCACCTCTTTTATTTCTGGTTAGGAATTTTCCACTTTTTTCCATTTTTGGGAGCCTTCTCTTACTCCCACCTTCTCACCATACTTCAGAGTGGCGTGAACTTCCCTCCCCACTTCTTCGTAGCAACCTCTCATACCCATCCTCTAGATGGGCGGCGACAGCCTCCTCCTTGCGTCACGTGATCACCACTCGACCAATGATGTCTAGTCGGGCAAATGTACGATTCCGCGGCTTTGTTTCAGGAAAAAATATCTTGCTTAACAAAAAAAAATATATCTTTTCTTTTCCTTTTCTTAGTTTTTAATCGCAGTTATCATTTTCTCTAGCCGCAAACAGAACAATACGAACGATGGTGGTCATAAATCTTGTTCTTACCTGGGCTTCGTCAGTCATCTTATCGCTAATTATCAGAATGGGTGGTCTTTTTAACACGGCCAGACCGTCGCCTCGAAAAGAAACATTTCTAAGTTCCCATTCATTTTTTTCGGTACACATTTCTGATAACACAGTTTTATTATCGCAGGCTAAAGATGTTCCGTCGAAAGAAATCCGTCAGTGGTCACCTCATGTGCGGCTTTTGATACAATTAATTTTTCATACCTATCCAAAGCCCTATAGTTCACCTGTGTTTTGTCAATTATCAAAATAACATTTTCAATTGGACTTTTCTTTGGCTAGCCGGTCTGGGGTTTGCTTAATCAAATGCTTTCCCGCACTAGCGGTTTGTTTATGTATCCCAGATAACACAGCCCGTCGCCAGAACACACCCGATTCCTTTATCCACTCAGAATTTCCCTGCCATTGTAATGACACTCTTTCGCCATTTGTTACTTATCAAAATATCCTTTATCCATTTTCTCTTAGTCGTGGTGTTCTGCTTATCATCCACGCTTTGGGTCTTCGCCTCTCCTTTCCTTTCCTTTCTTTCTTTTCTTTTTCTGCCTTGGTAAATGGTGCCACAATTGTTATGTTTTGAATCATTACGTTCTGTCTTGTATTTTATACTATGTGCTATTTTACGTCAAATATAAATTGCATTGTGACCGCTACATGTTTAGTAAGCCCCAGCGTCTTTGTTTGTCTTTTTCCACGCCATTCTTATTCAAAGATAAATAGTTGTGGGGACACGCTACAGCTAGATCTTATACGTGGGTCAGTAATAACTCCGGATACAGATCGGTTGGAAAGAGTTTATTTGCTTTCTAAGTAGTTATGACGCTGAATTCTAATACAATTTATCTCAGACAAGTTTCTTATTTGAGTTTGCATTGTTTTAGCATTTCACCCCAAGCAAGGCAGGATGCCACTAGTACGCGAGGGGTTACATGAAATTGGGATCGAAAGTAAAGGCGTGATGAGTGATTCATCTGGAGATTCGACCGTTTTCAAAGGATAAAAAATATACCATTTGATTTTAATTTCAACTATTTTTATTTTTTTATTTTTTAAGCATTTCACCCCAAGCAAGGCAGGATGCCACTAGTACGCGAGGGGTTACATACAAATTGGGATCGAAAGTAAAGAGGCGTGATGAAAGAAAAGGATAAAAAGAAGGGCAAGGTATAAGTCAGAGCATCTGGAGATGTCGACCGACATTACATTTGAATAGTTGAAGTTTGGTCACCATACTTCAGGAGGATAAAAAATATACCATATGTGACGCGGTAATTATCAACTATTTATTATTTTTCTTTTTTTTTTAAGCGTTCCACCCCAAGAAAGGCGGGATGTCACTAGTACGCGAGGGGTTACAGAGTATAGGCGTGGGTAAAGAGGCTAATGAAAAGAAAGGATGTAGAGAAGGGCAAGGAATAATTCAGGGCATCTGGAGATGTCGACCGACATTACATTTGAATAGTTGGGGATTATAGCTATCAGGGTAACAAGTAATAGGAAGGGAAATTCCACAGACGAGAGGTGCGAGACATGAAGCTATTGGAGAAGAAGAGACGGACACATTTGACCGTTTCGACAGTGAAAGGGTAGGACCGTGATGTCAGCCTAGTAACACGCTTCAATTCATGCAGTCTGGGAACTAGCGAAAGCAGCTCGTCGGAGCAGTTACCATGAAAGTATTTTTTGAAAAGACAGAGGGAGGCAACGGCACGCCTGTGAGAGAGTGATTGTAGACGAGTTGCCAGACAAGGATCAACCACATTGCTTATCCGTCTCTGGATCTTGTCGAGGACCTTAAGAGGAAAAGCGGGGGCACCAGACCATATATGGCAGCAGTATTCCATGCAAGGGCGAATTGTTGATGAGAAAAACTTTTTGGCGCGACATAGAGAACCAACTTTCCTTGCGGTGGACGAAGCTATTGATTCATTGTAATTATTCCATCTCAGGTCAGCGGACAATGTGAGAGCAAGCAGTCACAAAGAGGTGTTCTCGTGGAGTTGAGCATAGGACATTCTAATGGGTGGCAGGGATGGTTCCCTATGGTGAGTAATACAGAGCAGTTTTGTTTTTGAGGCATTAAAGTTAATCAGCTAATTTCTGCACCAGTCTACAACCGATTTTTTTTAAGCGTTTCACCCCAAGAAAGTCGAGAAGCCACTAGGAAAGCAAGGGGTTACAGAAAATTTGGAGCAAGATCAGAGAGGTCCTTTTCGAGACTAACGGCCAGTTTAGTTTTGTCAGCGATACCAGACTTGCTATTGAGGCAGGAGTAAATGGTAGTGTCGTCAGCATAGATGCCTACTTGGGAACTGATGATGGAGATTGTTAATGAACATAAGGAACAGAGTAGGGGCCTAAGATAGAGCCTTGGGGAACAGCTGCGTTCGTGGGAAAGGAAGTGGAGGAGAATCCATTAAGGACAACCTTCATTACACGGTTTGACAGGGATGATCGTATCAAGTCAAATAATCGACCTGAAAGTCCGTATCCCTCAATCTTACGAAGGAGGCCGTGATCCCAGACCCTATCAAATGCTTTAGAGATATCTAGGGTCACGGTACGAGCTTCTCCGTTGTTGGTTGATTCGTTTTCTACTGCGCATCAACACTTTGAAGGTTATTTTAAGCCAGGAAATAACTTAAATTGAAATAATAATAATAATAATAATAATGTGTCAACGAGCGATTGGTTTCTGCGAAGGGTTAGTTTTCTCGCAACAAACATGAATGAACCATCGACTTTGGTTTGAAAGAATTATTTTTTAAGATAATAATGATTTAGTGACATAGTCGGAGGAGAAGAGGTGGACTTATATCTTTCCTAAGTGCATTGGCGTGTAAGTGAAGACAAAGCACCCGACGGGTATTCGAAGTCAACTCTCTAATTAACAATTCCTAGCCATTATCCAATGTACGACTCGTACATCCAAGCTTATAGCACCTGGTATTCCCAAGTGGCCACACATCTAGGTACTGACCAGGCTCGACGTTTCTTAACTTCGGTGATCGTACGGGAATTGTGGACCTGATTGTATTGGTGGGGGCTATTTGTAGCGTTGGTTTGATTATTTCCACTCTATAGACCCTAGAATAATTCGAAATATATTCGTTACCGCCCACTAATGCAACCGTTAGAATAATACAATAGACTTACCCATAATGCATCACAGACCAGCATATATAAATAGTCGAGGAAAAACATCTGGCCTGATGATTGTGTTTAAGCATGAAACTGAGAAACTGAGTGTCGTCTCTTGGTGTTGTATTCTATGCTCACTGTATACGGCTATCATCAGCCCCTAAGTGTCTGTCTCGGAACATTGTTTTAAATTTATTTTCAATATCAGTCCTCCTCTCGTAGACGTCTTGTTAATGAGAGTGGGTTTGTGTTGGCGATTAGCGGGGGCGTGAGTTATCTTATCCCGGGGGAAGCGAGTTCATTTATGGCCAGTACTTAATATCAATTCCTACTATGTGATGGCCAGGAATTGCTGTATTCCCAAGTGGCCACCCAACTAGGTACTGATGACCAGGATTGACGTTTCTTAACTTCGGTGATCGTACGGGGATTGTGGATACGATTGTATTGGTGGGGGGGGCTATTTATAGTGTTGGTTTGATTATTTCCACTCTATAGACCCTAGAATAATTCAAAATATAATCGTAATATAATATTTTAAAATATTCGGGTTCAAAAGACTGTTATGAGGTTTTCAAATTTTGATTCGTAAATTTACTTTTCACTTAACGATATCATCTAATTGCATGTTTAAAAGCAATGAAGAATTTTAAAACCATTTTGACCTATTATTATATTATTATTAAAACGTAAAGAAAAAAATGTAAAAAATTCTTGTAATAATGCATTATTCATCGAATTTTTTTTTATTTCTTTAAACAATAATGTCCTTAATATAACTTATTTAAAAAGCAAGTAAAAGCTTTTCTAATTAAATAATGTCATAGTTTTTTTTGCATTTTTTGTTAAAATTCAGAGCAGATTTTCTATAAAACAGGTAACCGTTTTACAAAAATAAATAAATAAAAAACTGGTGATTTACTTTCTCTAAAGAGTACTGTTTTTGTTTTTTTTAAATCCCACTCTTAAAAATTTAAACTCTCGAAATTTCATGACAATATGTAAGGGGGTGGAATAATGTAAAAAAAACAAAAAAATATTTTTCACCAAGATTTTATAAAAAAAATTCAAAAATAATTTCATTCATTTCTGAATATTTCCTGAAAGTTTCATTAAAATCCGACAATTATTTGAATTTTGCAAGAATTTCCAAATCAACGTGTGTTTTGCTCGGGAAAAAGCTCAAAATAAAACAAACCTTCTTTACTCTTCTCGAAGGCTGTCGTAAAAAAAAAACAAAAAACTCCCAAAAACAAGATTTTTAACCAAATTTTGAACGTGCTAGTAAGGAGTAAAAAAAATACAAAAAATAATAAAAAAATATTTAGCTCTTTCTTCTTAATAATAACATAAACATTTTGATGATAAAACTTTGTTTTCGTTGAGTTATGGGCTTTTTTTCATCATGCTATACTGCTTTCTTACGTGCCCTAGTCGAGGTACCTGTATTTATCTAGTTTTTGTGTTTTTGTTATTTTATCCGTGAGGATTTTGTAGTAATGAGAGAGATTACATTTATAGATATTTTTTGATTTTTCGGCTCTTCCCCAGATGTCCTTGGAGTTTCTAATCATCTTTATATTCATGTGTAGTTCTTTTTGGAAGTGATAGGGTAGCATGTTCTTAAATAGCCTCGTCATATCGAGACTTTCATACGGATTTTACGCATAGCGCCGAATTCGGCTGCATACAAGAGCTTTCCTCGAATAATGGTTGAAAACTTCTCCAAAACTTGTGGACGTGTGCGCTACAGAATAGCAAACAAACAACTGTACCAGATAAAAGAAACCACATCACTGGAAGACTTTCAACAGCAGCAACAGCTAAAATGGATAGCGCATGTAACTCGAAGGAAGAATAATTAAAAATAAGAAATTAAGAGGATGAAGTTCCAGGCTATTTCGAAATAAAAAACGGTTTGGAAGGAAAGCGCCCTCAAGACTGGGAAAGAGCGATTACAACTACCGTACGTTTGAATCTTATGTTCTTTAAGTATGGGCTTTACGAATGTTGATGAAATGCTTCTAACGTGTGTTTCTCTGGGCTGTCTACTGGCCCCACCACCAGTTAGAACGACTGTTAAGTTCTGCAAATACCTCATAAATAATAGACTATTCCGTTTTGATCGTGTGAAAAGACAGGAAAAGATATATCAGAGAAGCTACTTGGTTTCAGTGACCTAAGAATTTCTTTTTAAGAGAACGATTGATGAATTGTAAACTACCATGGTTGCCCAGTGTTATACGGGAACACACCTATTCTATTGTTAATAAACTCTCCCACCTATTATAAGTAGTAGTAGTAGCAGTCGCCAGTGAGCTCAGTGAGTTGGACGAGTCAGTCGATGTCGGACATTAAAGTATCAACCACCACAACTAGATTGCTGCGTCATTAACTATTATAACAAGTTCCTAACGTTTTGTACGTCGAACCTTTTTTAGGACCGACTTAGTGAAATACAAGCCTCCACTGTGAAAACCACTCTACAATACATTGGCGACGAGGGATTCGTTCTCATACGGAGAAAAAAAACCTTTCGTTCACTCTACAACACCCAGTCAGTGAATATCGAATGTTTCCTTATGAGGAAACGGCTAAATATATCGCGCTTTGCTTGATTCTTTAACTTTGCCTCATTTAATTTAAAACTGGTTTAATAAGATTTAACAGTCTCCGTATCTTGGGTAATTACAGTTTTCTGGGATTTCAATTAGCAAACGATAGCTTCACACGAATTTTCTACCCACATTTTCTTATCGATAAACTGCAGCTGGAGGCACGTTTTGACGGGGAAAAGCGATATTCTTGGAAATAAAGACATTGCAGAAAAAATAAATATCACTATCGTTTCGGATTCTAAAATAAATAACATCAGCGTGTAACTGCTTCCAAAGATCTCAACGACCAAGGAATCATTCCTTAAAACCGAGACTCGTTTTGCTATGAAGTCTCCCGTGGATGAGCGATCTAAAGCCCGCCAAGCTTACAGAGGTTGTCGGCATGCAAAGGGCTATTATCTCCCTTTGTTAAAGATGAATGCACGAGAGTCACGTTACAAGCCGGTGAGTGACGTCAATTCATAGTGTGACGAACCCCGGTTGCTATTGAGCACGCCTAGTGGCAAGACGTGTCCGCTCTAGCCAGTTACTATGTATATAGCATGGAAGCATGACATCACCTCCGACAGCATTTAATAGAGACGACGAAATCACATGGTCTCACGAATTACATAGAGGACGTTAATGTTCTGCTCGTTTTCCCTTCGGAAAATACTACAAGGAAAACAATATCGCTTTTCGCCCCTTTCACACTGCTTGTTGAATACACAGGCTATAATTTCCCTCTGTGGGACAATTTACTGTCAAGAATATATATATTGGTATAAACAAATCTGTTTGAAAACAGTGTATATTTGTCATTGTTTTCTTTCAGCTATGTCGCTCCGTTATTTGTATTAAAGTGTTGGTATATCACGGATAGGCTAATGCCTCTGCCACGATGCAGTAATGGTAAACCCTACTAACCGTATCGTTAACCATAACACTAACACTAACCCTGCCACTGGATAGTGATTCGGACTGAGGAATCGGAGAGCCGAGTTCGAATTCCAGTCGAGATCATAACTTTCATTTACCTGTTAATTCTAATGGGAAATGAATGAATCCATCTCGAACTATGTCTAAGATTAAGTTCTATAGCATTTGAGAAAAGGAGAAGGAAAACTCTGAATTTAAAACTGTATTTAGCTCGGGCGAAGTTGCATAGTACATGAAGATAAGGAAAGAATCGTTCGTATTGCCTCGATGATTCACACTGCGGTCGACTAATGCCTGGAATGGGGAAGGGTATACCGGAATTATTATTATTATTATTAATATTATTAATAATAATAATAATAATAATAAGCCACTATCTATTAAAGAAGAGCAAAAATTTTAGGAGATTATTTGGAGCAACTCAAAGGAATATAGAGCCAATGAAGGATGGAGTAAAGAAGAAAGAATGGAAGATGAACTTTTACAAGAATGGGAAAATATAACCAAAAATATACCGGAATTATTATTATTATTATTATTATTATTATTAATAATAATAATAATAATAATAATATTTTAAGTTGTGTCATGACAGACTGTCTCGAGTTTAAGTAAGCAGGACCAGTCAGAGCACTGTAATAAAACGAACGAGACAGTTGATGCATTTCGGGATATGTATGGCGACACTGTAACTCCTACATACAATTCTCGGGTTCCCACTAAGTACAACTCCAACGGTTAACTGAGCTATTTAAGTTGACTGTAGCCACATTACTCCAAAGAAACTTTATTAGTTTGTTTTGTTTGTTTAACGGTATATCAACAACTTATGGGTCATTTAATGCCGAAATTTCATTTTATTGGGCGTTTTGAAAAAAATAAAAAATATGTTACGTTTCTGCTTTCGCGATGGAATATATGATAGATGATACTCAGCCTTTCTGCATATAAATATTCCCGATCAGAAGCCCTGCTGCCGGATGTAGTTTATCGTCATGCCCAGGACTAAACTTTATTACATTGTGCGCATACGTTAGTTATCCGTCTTGCAAAGTAGCACTCGCAGACCTCGACTCTTCAGGCCGGATTGTCTTGAGAGAATGGTCTATTCTTGTAACCATACTGTTCTTATGAAAGCGCTTCGAAATGCGACGGACAACCGATTTTGAAAATCCTATCTCACGTCTCGATTGTTGCACAAGTTACTTTGTGCCCCTTGTTTCTATAACGATTGTTTCCAGAACCCTTGTCTCCAGAACGCTTTTTTCCAGAACATTTGTTCCCAGAAAACTTGTTTCCAGAATCATTGTCTCCAGAACGCTTTTTTCCAGAAACCTTTTTT